AACAGGGTAAACAGACTGTATAGGAAATACAGAGGGAACAGACGTAACAAAAGAAATAGAAATTACTGCTGATCACTATGTAGCACAGTAATGACATCATCTAACGTGAGATCATTATTGATTGACATATCCTACGTGATATTTGGAGTTGCAATTTCTTCCGTTGACAATGTAAATGAAAAATTTCATAGTTTACTACCTATTCAAAGGAATAAAAAATACACTAATCTTGAAATTAACTACAATTTAATCTTCTAACTCCTCAAATTTGACTTTTCTATTACCACTTTCTTTAAAGAATTCTGTGTTTATATAGAAAAATAAAACTTTTATTTGAACAATTTTTAATGATTGAAATTTTTAAAGTCATACAACTTTTTCTTTATTATATTTCATGAAAATGTTACCAATACAATATATCAAATAAAACTTTTAATTTTATTTGACTATGTTCTGAAGCTAGATTCATAATGAACAATATTATTAACAATTTACTGTTATATTTAAAAGATCAACTTTTCATATATACTTTCTATTCAAGTTTTCCACTAGAAGTTTTAGCTCTTTTATTACTATTACACTCTTATTGGGTTATTAAAGCAGATTCTCACAATATTACATTATTGATTTTATTAAAAGTATTATTCCTTTCTCTTTTCAAAGACAATTGATACATTTACCAATTCCTCTTTCATTACTTATATTATTCTTTCTTCCTTTTATAATTTTTCTTTAATAAAACTTATACTCTTATATGAAAATTAAGATATGATTTTTTTTTCTAATGTAGTAATAACTAGCTATTATACGTCTACTTTTATATAGTTAGGTGATAATAGTAATTTTACTATTGATTATTACTAGAGCCTAATAGGACAACCAGTTGGTCTGATAAACTTGAGTTTTGAACTTTTTGGTTTATTAAACAGCTTTTTTTATTTTTCTATATCTGTACCTTTTTAGAGAATTTTCATATAATTTTTTACTGATTATGATTATACTTAATAAATAAAAGCATTATCATATCTTAAAAAATACATACATTATTATATTTTTTATAAAAGATATCTTTAAAATAACAAATTATTAATATTATTTGAAATCTATATTTTATTATTTATAAATGTTTAGAATCAAAACTAATATAAATAAATTTACACTGGGATTTGCTTTATCTAGATTTTTATGCAATTGCAAAAGTCAATCAGTATTGACTGGATTATTAAATGAGCAGACATTGGAATACTTTACATAGAAAAATTTAGTCCTTCACTTTATTTTAGACTAATTATAAAGATGAATATTACTGTATATTATAAAATAAAATTTTGTTAATAATAAGTAAGATAAAAATATTGATTCTATTATAAGCATTTGAAAAAGAATTTTAAAGGTTTAATTAATTCTATTTATTTAAATGATAGAATTTTAAAACATTAATGAAGGGATGAAATATTTTCTAAATTTCTCTTTCCATTTTTAATAAGATTGTAATATATTATATTTTACTGTTACATTAAATATAATTCCGACCAGAGACACGCATGTAAATTGTTTTCGATATTTGCAGTTAGTCCTTTGAAGATCATTTTGACAGGTTACAGGTTGTTAGAATGCCAGGTAGGTACGATGAAATGTCAAGCTGTCCTAATAATTATTTTTTTATAAATACGAGCTGGAAATCTCAAAAATTCCACGCTCGCACTTCTTATACTTGCATATATACACCTTAAAAACCTTCCTTTATCCCTTCGCGATATTTTCGCTTTCGGCCGTTTTAACATTTTAATTTTATATTTATTTTTTTTTAATTTCCGCTTTTTCTTATTTTTACACAATCGCGCAGTTTTAATTAATTAGAAGTTTTATTGATTGGCATTTATTTAGTTTAATATATTGACATTGCAAAAAGTGTAGAGCGCCGAACACTGATTAATTTGATATTATTAAATATATTTATCGTTAACATTACTTCATTTTTACTCAACAAAAATCTTCTGCTTACATTTAAATTGTTTATAAATTAATAAACGAAAGAACTGAATACAACATTACTAATAATTTTATCGTTATTTAAAAAAGATATTTTTTAGGCTCACATATATCTTTTCAAACCACATTACATAAGTCATTTGTATTAAATGATTTTATATATATATTTGATGTGACTTAAATATGGTTTCGTTTGAAATTCAAATATTTGAAAAAAAATTCAAACGAATGTCGGAAATCGAAATCAATTTCATTTGTTTTTTTCATTTTTTTAATTTTTGATTTTCGATATTCAATCCTAGACTTAAATCATGCAAATATAAGCATACAGATTAAATAAATTCTAAAATTCTGGTATATGATTTAATTTACTAGTAAATTATCAGAATATTACTAAGATGCATCCAATCAACAGATTTTGAGATTCTTTTTTTCAATTAGTTTTTTTTTAATAATTAACGTTGGTTTCGATCGGCTTGATTAAATAGGTAAGCGTTTCTCATTTACACGATTTTCTTTTTTATTTTATTTTATTTTTATTTCATTTGCTTATTAGGTTCTCCTTTTTCAGATTCGGGTTGCATTGAATTAAATAGCTTCAGGCCGCAGCGATCGATCTTAGTTTGACTGTTCTTATTCTTTCTAAGTACTAGTTAAGTTAATTTTTATTTTATATGGTATTTATTTTATGAGTTTAATCGCTTTAGGCTGCAACGATCGAATAAGGATATAATAGAGGATCGTTTAAATTGCTTACTGCGCCACTCAACAAGAGATTCGAATCTAATTCGATCGATTTCGATTCCAATTCCTATTTGGGAACTTATTTTCGAAACACATTTTACGAATGAATCATTTTATAAGAACTTCGAGTAAAGTTCCATTAGGACGTTACTCTATTTCAAACCTTTATTTTTCTAGATTCTGTCTAAGATTAAAATATACACGAAAATTTTCCACTCCCTCATTATTTTTTGTCAAAGGTAATAAAAGCAGTTTTAAAAGAGTTAAAAGTCCATTTTATGATCAAAAAGGTTCGAAAATAATACAGAATGGATTGAGGCTAGAATATTCGTGTGGCCCTCTTTCAATAATCCCCTTTCACTTTAGATTTTCTTTAGTTACATTAGATAACGATAACTCTGATTTAACAAATAAACAATTCAATGATTCTTATAAAGTACAATCGATATCGACTGCAAAATGTTCGGAACCTAATCTAATGAGGAAATCCATAAGTTATATTGTGAGATTTATCTCCGAATATATTATTGAGCCTATATTAATAGCATGTCGATTTACTTATTTGTTCTGTTTATTTATGCCACTTATTGTTGGATCACCCATAATATTAATCGGTAAAAGAGTTCCTGAAAAGGATGACGAAAGGACAGGTGCGCTTTGGTGGTATAACATGTTGGTGAGAAGTATGGAACGGGCCGGGCCAACATTTATCAAGGTTTGTGATGGCCATTACATTAGAATAGTTTGTATTCTATAAAATGATTTTTTTATTCTTAATTCATCTATAGTTGGCACAATGGGCTGCTTCAAGAACTGATATCTTTTCCAAAGAGATGTGTAATCTTCTTTCAAAGCTTCACTCTGCCGTTGATCCACATCCATTTTATGAAACGAAACGAATTGTTGAAGCAGCATTTGGAAGATCACTTGAAGAAATCTTTATTGAATTTGATATGAAACCAATAGGAATAGGTGCAATTGCACAGGTATGAGAGAAAAAATTTTTTATGTGTACATGTGTTTTGATTTGAGAACTAAATCCTTGCTTGATCTTCTTATTAGGTGTATAAAGCTATTATTCGTCCTGAAATTCTTCCATCTTTTTTTTATGATGATTCTAATGGTACGGATGTAATTCATCCTCCTGTGGTAGCTGTCAAAGTTTTACATCCTACGGCAGAAAAAAATATACGGCGGGATTTGAAGATTTTAATGGCGTTTGCAAAGATTATTAATGCAATCCCCACAATGCAATGGCTTTCTTTTCCAGAAGAAGTTTCAATGTTTGGAGAAATGATGCGAGATCAATTGGATCTAAGGATCGAGGAAGCAAATTTATTGGAATTTCAAAATAATTTTCGTAATCGCAGAACAGTAAAATTTCCTAAACCTTTGACCGGATGCACTACAAAGAATATGTTAATCGAGGAATACGTAAGAGCATTGCCCATTAAATTGTTCCTTGATAATGGCGCCAGTGTATTTGATCATATGATTGCAAACATGGGTAAGTTCGATCTATCATCTCCGTCTTTTTTGTTTTTTTCCATTCAAATTTAGACTGAATTTATTCTCATCTCTTTAAATATATGATTAGGCCTTGACATTTTTCTTGTAGGTTGAAATCTGTTTTTGAATACATTTCCTTTTGACTTGTTCAAATTTTTAATATTATCGGCATTCTCGTCACACTATATATATGTAGCATATGCTCATCCTTGATAATTTTGTGCACTCTGATTTACATCCTGGTAACATCATGATCAAATTCACGAAACCGAACACCTATACCGTGCTACGCCAATTTTGGGCACATTACACTGCTTCCGATGAGCAGGAATCAAAGATTCGATACGGTGATCACGATTCGGATGTTGCGATTGAGAGACTTTTATCAAAAAGTCACGACAAGGCACTTTGGTTGGATGAGTTGAAAGAATTATGTAATGAGGGGTATTTACCACAATTAGTCTTTTTAGATACAGGATTGATAACGAGTTTAAATGAAGAAAATCGTCGAAATTTTTTGGATTTATTTCGTGCGATAGCAGAATTTAATGGTTATAAAGCTGGTAGATTAATGATTGAACGATGTAAAACTCCAAACTTGGTAAAAGGTGGGGAAATATTTGCATTAAAGATGCAACATTTGGTTTTAAATGTGAAGGCAATAACGCTTCAATTAGGGAAGATTGGAATTGCCGATATTTTAACCACGGTCTTACAAATGGTTAGGCAGCATCACGTGAAGTTAGAGGGTGATTTTGTCAATGTAATAATCTCAATTTTATTATTAGAAGGGATTGGTAGACGATTAGATCCAACCATGGATTTATTAAAAAGTGCGTTACCAATCTTACGTGAATTGGGTGCGCAAGGGGCGGGTAGGGGCGTTTTGAAAGAAATTCCAGGAGGTGGCGCATGGTGGTTGAAGTTTTGGTTTTGGTTAGAAGCTAGGGAATGGGTAGATAATGCATCATGGAAAGAATATGCTGCAATGTTTCACAAAAATGTGTGGTGGCCTGATATTTGAATTCTGCAATTATTTTGATCGTGTCAAAATCTTTCTTATATGGAATCCAATAAAAATAAAAATAAAAATACAACCCCCCATCCCTTGAATAATCAGATCATATATGATGATGATGATATTATTATTATTGTTCCAATGCAATTATAAAAAACGTAAAATTTTTTTCTAACCCTACACCGATATTGATCTACACCGTTATTTGATCACCAAAGCAAAAGTAAATAGCAATTCATCTACACTTTCTGCTTCGTTTTCTACTTAGAGGTGCATGATCTTGTAATGTTGGATTTGAAGAGGTATCTCTCGCTTGATTGAATTTCACATTTCGAGAAACCGAACAAAACCTTCTCATAAAACAAACAGAGAATAGGATAACCGAAATCAACATGGCAAATTTGATGTAATTCTCGTTGTCCAATTGGTTTAATTGGTTTGAAGTTTCTGTCACACGGTCAACTAGAACGGTGGAGGTTGTTGCACGACCTTTGTTGATAATTTCTGGTCCCTTTTCCATGATCAAGCCATCAAGTTCTTGTTGAACCATTTCATCCCCAACGTGATTGACATCCCCAAGGATGGGGTCGGGAGCTTTTGAATAAAGTTCCTGAACCCCCTCCTCCTTGGAGGATCGATAACTTTCACTCGACATCTCATAATCGTTGTGCTTAACGATATGAGAGTAGGATTGATCCCTTTCAAAATCGTACAAACGGGACTCCTCAATGTTTCCATTACCGTAGACGAACTTGAGACCTAGTAATCGAAGTCGTTGCACCACATTGTTCCAAATCGTCGTTGGGATGATGTAATCCGGAGGAGGGGGGAACTCAAGGCGCATGTGATGAACGTTATGAATGATAACGTGAAGAGTAGAACCGGGAACGTCCTCTTCCTTTTGAGTCGAACTAGGCGTTGGACGAAGGATTTTTGAGGTGATAGTTACTTGTGCCGTTTCAGACATTTCAACATTTCAAAGGTCACGCGAATTAATGAGGTATGATTTTTCTCTCTCTCTCTCACTATCTCTTCGTTTTCCTTTCTTCTCTTTTTATTTGATGAGGATATATATTATTTATAAGGAAAGAAGGATGCACTAAACCACTATCACGTTCATGAAAAAAGAGAAGCTTTTATTAACAAGAATATTAATAGTGAGGTTTTTTTTTTTTTTTTCTTATAGAAATTATTACAACCCCTTTTTTTTCAAATCAAGTAGACTATCGTCATGATCAAAAAAATGTATGTAATCAAATCAATCAAGCCATGATGTCAAAACCAAAACATAATCCTTAATCGAAAACCACGTCATGCAATGTTGCATAAAATCTCTGGAAAAAAAAAAACAAAAAAGCTAACCTCGTTACACCATTTAAATTCACCCATTACTGATAAATAGATTGATAAATAAAAAAAACGTAATTATCAATATAAATGTGTATTAATAATAATAATAATAATAATAAAAAAAAAAAAAAAAAAAAAAATTAAAAATAAAAATTTTACAAGATCATCTCGAATTTATCAGGATTTTAGGTTATCACGCTTTAAATTAAATCACGATTAAACGAGCGATGACATTTGACGAGCTGTCAAAAAAAAAAAAAAAAAAAAAAAAAAAATTTGAGTAACATTATCATATAATAATTAAAATAATAATAATAATAATAATAATAACGTAGGGCTCGTGCATCATACTCGAATGTTTGTTTAATTAGACCGTTTCACAGAAAAAATTTTTTTTTTTATAGAATAAAAAAGGTGATGGCGTTTTTTTTTGTCATATTGCATGAAGTCATGAAGTCATTGAATTATTATTAATTTTTTTTTTTTTTTATTTATTTAAGAAACAACATATACAGACAGTATCACTAACCTCGCATGTCGCTTTCCTCTTATCACATTGGAACTTTTCCTGGTATTCGGGTGGAAACAGGGTAAGCCAACAAATGAATTTCAGTAGATCCGATTTTCAACCTCATGTAAAGATTATGAAAAGTTAATAATCGACCGATAAAGAACAATAGTAATGAGAACAATCGGATCAGTTATCTTATAGGAACTAGAGATTAGCGAACCCTGTAACAAACAAGAAGTTTATCTTCCCCGCATTTTTTTTTTCTCCTCCCCCACGCAATGAACATCCTTGATGCCCTGCAACTTTCAAATACAGAAATATTGATATGACTGTTGTTCATATGATAGTGAACAATATAATACAAAAAAAAAAAAAAAAAAAAACCTTAATATTATTATCAAATCATAAATAAATAAGTATTAAAATGGATAAGACGTGTAAAATTTTTTTTTATACAATAATAATAAGATTTATACAATAAATTATTATTAATAATCCAAATTAATTATAAATTAAACTGCACCTCATTGTATTTCTTCCCCTCATTGATCAACATACTCCGAAAAAAAAAAAACACAAATATTTGTTTGGACTCCCGCTTTTCCTAATAATCAACTTATTGTTTTCATTATTATTATGTAGTTAAAAAAAAAAAAAAATAAATTGACCTAACCTTCAAAAAATCTCTCAGCATGGGCTTACCTTGATTGTTTGCATCTGACATCGTAATGTTTGTAACGAATTAAAATTATTTCTAAAATAAATGGTGTATAAATTCATCATTATTAAATGGTTTCACTTCATTATGCCCCGAATAAATTAAATTAATAAACTGAAACTTTAAAAAAACAACCCAACTGAATGCCCATTTGCGGTTAAATCATCAAATTGTACCGTATAATAAAACGTCAAAGTTATCTTAACGGATGTAAGGTTTGCATGATTGAAATGCCATGTGGAAATCCTTTCCTGCCCAAAGGAATTTTTGTCAACCTTTAAAAAAACAATCGAAAAGGTGAGATTTTGTATCTCGTGATTTGACAAAAAAGGCATGATGATTGCTAAAAACAATCATCATTTAACGAATTAGAATTGTTTTGGAAAATGTCGCTTCTTGCGAATAACGAAATGAGGAACAAATTGGGGCGAAAAAGAAAAAAGACGGGAAAGGGAGGAAAAAAGAAAGGTTGTAATATTATTTGATAATTGAAAATATTTGTCAAACCTATCCATTCCGTTTTCATAGAAAAAAAAAAACATTTCATCATCACTGTCCCCTCCTCTCCCTCTTTCTCTCTCTCTCTCTCTTTCTAAAAAAAGACGACATATGGAATGATAAAATAAATAAATATATATATTTTTTTTTAAAACAATAACTTTATTTATTTTTTTTGATGTTACAAACCGAATATATTTGGCGAAAAAAATTCAGGAGAATATTACAATCATTCACTATCAAAAACTATATAACATCATATTTTTTTTTTTTTTTACTTGTGTTCTCATTTTTACATAAAAGTACATTGGAAATTGACATGTTAAGGTATGATAATTTAAGGTAGCTTTGGCTTTGAGGGAAAGGGTGGGTTGGGTAAAAATCTCTTCAGGGTTTAAAACTGACACCCTTTGAATTTGTAATTTACCAAATATAGACAGTTTTAACTATTTTTTTTCCCATTTCAACATTAATTTTATGTAACCTCTCATATTTTACGACGAGACGTTACGAATAAGGTGCCGTGAAAAATTTTAAAACAAATTTTCAAATTTTTAACGATAAAAAAATAATGAAAAGGACGAAGGAAGAAGACAGAGATTTTTGCCATTTTTTTTTTTGGCAAAAAAAAAATCCCATCCAAATAATTAGTGATTTTACACATCACATTATGATCAAAAACCGAACAAAAAAAAAAAAAAATAAAATAAGAAGAAACATAAATAAATGCTTACGAAATCAGATTTTTTTTTTTTTCGATACTATCTTTCACATTCATAAAATCACCGAGCCATATTAGGACATGTGACCCCACTTAACCCCATTCCCCATACATTAACTACGCATAGACCGGTTCTATTAAACAATGAACTAAAAATGATCGTTTTAAGGCAACACATTAAGCAAGACCCTGCATATGAAAATTCGCATCGTCCAATCAGATCGCGCAGTTTCTTATCATTAAAAACGAACCAGTTTCATAACGAGTTATCATTAAACTATGGAATATCGTTTCCCCACATCGATTTATTTTGTGTAGCCATTGATCTGCAACAGGCCTTACCATTTCAAGATAAATTTTGTTCACAGAGGTGAAGATCCTTTTCTTATACCTGCGGTATTACATTTTGCCATATCACACAATATTGTAAATAGGTTTTATTTTTACTTTATGTTATTTATTTTGTGCACCTTAGCCGTCAAAGATGTCAAAAAAAAAAAAAAAAAAATTTGATTACAATTGTGAAAAATATTTCTCCGAGTTCACAATTAACAACAATAAACTTTCCCTTAAAGTTCCTCAAACAAGATTGGCAACGAGTAAGAAATTGGAATGATTTTTTTTAAAAAAAAAAAAAAAAAAGAAAAAAAAAAAACAAATGAATATTTATGATTGTTGTTAAACATTGGCGTTACACAATGGAGATGGGCGAAATGAACAATGCACCTCGGCGTTTTTATTCTATGCAACATTTTTATGTAAAAAAATGGAATTGATTGTTAATGTGGGGGGGGGGGGGGATATCACAGGAAAAAAAAAAAAAAAAAAAATACGCCTTTTATTTTATGGAACTTTTTTTTAAAAAAGAATAAATTCGAAAAGAGACGCATTGGCGCATTGAAAATCACTAACGAATGTCGGGTACTAGCATTGATTAGCACAGGTCAACGAAAAAAAAATTATCTTGCTTTGATAAACATCAATGATAAGCGGTTAGTCATATGATTCATAGAAACTTTAAATGACCAATGCGTAAATTAGATTATGTGGGGTAGGTATCTGATACATGAAATTAATTGCAAGAGAGAAACAAAAAATTTTTTCATTTCCTTTCTCGATGACAAATTCAAGGTAACGGGATGGGTAACTTCATTACATAATGCAAGGTTAAAGATGTTTGAAACCTTAACAATTAACAATGAATCATT